TAGAAAACTTTGGGTCAGCCCTGTGTTTCTTCTTCTTCTTTTTTTTTTTTTTTTTTTTTTTTTTTTTTTTTTAATATGAACCATTTGTTTTGCTACTGGCCCCCCATCTTGCTCCGCCCCTGCCTTTTGGGCCCTAGAAAACTTTGGGTCAGCCCTGTGTTTCTTCTTCTTCTTTTTTTTTTTTTTTTTTTTTTTTTTTTTTTGATAATATGAACCATTTGTTTTGCTACTGGCCCCCCATCTTGCTCCGCCCCTGCCTTTTGGGCCCTAGAAAACTTTGGGTCAGCCCTGTGTTTTTTTTTTTTTTTTTTTTTTTTTTTTTTTTTTTTTTTTATTATTTACAATGTTAAAATAAAAAAAAAAGGACAATGCGGTTTTTGTTTCATGTTAAATAAAACCTTTTTCCTATAGTGGCATGTAGTCGGATACTGAATGAACAGATCTGTAAAAGGGGTGGAAGCAGAACCAAGCAGAGGAGTGACTTTCTTTCAAAAATAGTTCACTTCATCGCAGCAGCAACCGGTGCAGTAGCTGCTGCGGGCGGCTGAGGAGGGTGACAGACATGGCTCTTTGCGGAAATAAATAACGGGACTGGCGAAAGACAACATCCTAACTCAGACAGAAAAAAAAGCGAAGGGGGGACCGAAGAAACTTGACCGCAAGAAGGTTTCTGGGTTCATGTATTTGTACGATAATACCTGCCGAAAATAGTCCCGGTGAGTAAAGCTCGTCTCGTGTAGCATGTTGTATTTAAACACTGTGTGGTTAAACAAGCGTAATTCGACGTTTTAATTACACTAAAGCCGACTTTTTATTGCTTAAAAGTTTAGTTTGGGAGGGAGAGGCTCTAAAAAGCGCATTCATTCGGGGGGAACAAGGTGAACAGGGAGTTAAACTTTCCAGCAACATGGCCGCTCAGATGTCACTCAGCTTCCCCCAAAGTTGGCACATCTTGAGAGAAATTCTGTACGCATCTTTTTTCTTCTTCTCAATTGCAGGTGTTAATCGTTGGAAGTGATGGTGTTCTCATAAAACCGTTAGATGAGTAGAGTTTTTTTTTTCTTTAATCGAAAGGGCTGGCTTCCCCTGCTGTGAACAGTCATGCCCACTTTTTAAATCAAAACGGCTATTGGTTTTCACGTCCTCCTCAGAGGGAGGAACGTTATTCCATTCGAAAATCTGGCAATTGTTAAATTCTCTTCCGTTATGTCCAAAATACCACCTCTGCAGTTTCATTTAAAACATTTATTGAAAACAACAATGCTCAATAATAAATTCGGCTTGCTAATCTAAGGGCAATTACCTTGTATATTATAAGTACTTGTATATTTATATTTCATTCTCAATGTTTAATCAATCCTCTCTGTCTAGACGTGATTTACAATAGTGTTTAAAAATAAGATCTTATTCAGAAAAAAGAAGAAAATTAACAGTAGATAACTTAGTTGTACAAGCCATACACAACTGCCTTATTTATATACGATATATATTTAAAAATACATTTTAATTTCCACATTTGCTGCACATTTATCTGTAATCAAATGCCCTTTTGTTGCTTTTCATTATATGTGTTTTTGGATAAAAATCTGATTTTTGATGAGGAATTTTGATTTAAAAGAATAAAAAAGCAACAGTTATGTGACAACTTATATTATTTTACAGAAGACAGTAACAATGTGGGCTTAATGCATGAGTAGAAAAAAATACCAGAAAAACTGTTCAGGAAATAACCCCCATTCTAAAAAAAAAGAAGTGTTTTTGGGTTGGATCTTGCAAAGCAGGAAGGATTGACACTTTCTTATCATAAACATTTAAATTCATGTTCTTAATTACCCTTATATTATTAATCTAAATAATTACAATGTCAGTTTTTATTGTTTTTGTTTTCTAGGACTAGTGGAGTTTGTTTTAAACCAAATACTGAAATTAATCATTGTGTTTTTATGTTTTCTTAAAAAAACAAGCGCTATTCAAACTTGTTTTGTCTTTTTAGTCTTATTTTGATACCAAAACAAAGCACTGTTGCATCTACAGTTTGCTGGAAGCTTACTGAAATATTGCATTATTAATAATGTGTATTTATTTTCTCATAGATACACCTTTCATATGATCATTTAATATTTTAGTGTAAATCGAGGGTAGCAAAGTCTTCTGGGGCTTTTATCCTCTTAGTTTGCTTCAGCACAGCTGTATTTCAGTGAGAGCGCATTAGCAGGTTTTTTTTCAGAACTTGATAAAATAGCTGAGGATGGGTCTGTTTATGCTAAAACATCTAGAAAATCCTGTATTTTCACTTAAAATACCTTTTAAAAAGATATACACTGTTGGTCCTAAACTAGGCATAATACAGTGTTAGTTTACTGTTATTTGACCCAGTTATCAAACCACTGGTGCCTCCTGACCAACTTTAAAGGAGGAATAAGCAGCTAAATTCAAGGTTTATATGGTGTATGCTGTTGCCAGATATTTGCTGTAAAATACCAATGTACTCAACTAATATACACATACAAAGAGTGATGCAGAGTCATTTGATCATTACTGTTGGACATGACATCAGACTGCATTGCTTTCTAAATTAGGTAAAACCATTTGTTCAGGAAATAAGCAAAAAAAAAAACAACTGGTGCTTGCCTTTCTAGGAGAAACTTAATCATCTCTACATCTTTTTTTTTTTTTAAATTAAATGTCTTTAAGACTTCTCCATCTATAAACAAGTCACCGGTATTATATCTTTTTTAACCCCAATTTGGTCTTTTTTGGGACTATCCCTGGTCAGTTTCTCTTATTGACTTCCATGTTTGCAGGCTGCTGCTCATTTTGTCCACATGAAACTCCAAATGCTGAGCTTGGTTTTGGCAACTCTGGCAACTCTTATATGATTGGCTTAGCAACCAGGAAGTAATCATGGGCTAAATGATGCACCAAAGTAGTTCCACAGCTTACCTCTGGGATTGAAAACAGAAAAACTTGCCTGAAACTTGTTGTGGAGATGACCAACGCTTTATAGGGAATGTTACATGCTTCCCGATTGAAGAATCAGAAGGATTTTGGTAATTTTCACTACATGAGCACCAGTCAGTTGTTGTTTGGAGCCGAGTGCCTATCAGAGCATCAAATCCATAAATTCTTTAACTCCTGTTCAATGTACATGTTTATCAAAGTTACATGAGATGAGAAAGTATGATGAATTGACCAATGTTTTATTCAAGGAGGCAGTGGAGACGAGGTTTTTGTTGCGCTTCCCTGATCTACCACTCTGCTCCTCTACTCTCCTCTTGAGCTGCCTTATCTCATAGCTCTGGCGTGCTTTCTGCTGTCCAGCTGGCTCCTCCGATCTACAGCTTTGGTTCCTCAGCTGCAGAGAGGGACACTGCTGGCCTCCTCATCCCGGTTATGGTGCTTTCGTTCGCTTTCTGTGTTTTTACACAGATTCCCCGCTGCTTCTATTTGTGCTCAGAATGCTCTCTCCTCTTCCCCCTGTCGTTGGATGATTTGTCCCCCTATTTTGAGCCCTCTGACCAAGAAAAACATCGACCAAGAGTAGAAGGATGCATATTCTCATCAACAACGCAACAACTAGCATAAAAAAATCTGTGGTCTTCATAATGATCTTCCGGTCGCTGATCGTAGTCGATCTAATTTTTACTGAACTTTATTCTTTTTCTATACATGCATCAAAATTGTTGTTAATTATACAGCAATACAGTTTATAATATAAACACACCCTGTTTATAAAATGAAAAAGGAAAATTCAATCAAACAGATGAACATTCTGTCCAACAAATAGATTTTATAAAAAAGCCATTTGTTAATAAATGACTCTTTTTACAGCACACAATCTTTTTGTTAGTTAATCACATTCCTTTAACTTGCAACTGAAACCTTTACGCAGATTTATTCATCTTTTGTTCCTTTTCAAAGAAAGTAGCTAAAAAGTTGACCATGAAAAGAACAGATAAAAAGATCTGATAAGTTGGGTCATGTGCGGACAACTTTTCAGCCTGCTAGGTACGTACTGTGTGCTTCTGGCAAGGGAAGGTTTGTTTACACTTAAAACAGGGCGAAATGAAAGGGCAAACAAGAATTAGCCATCTGCTTTTTTTTTCTTTTTCTGGGATCCACCGGCCTATAGCGAATAAGGAAGTAGATCTGCAAAAAAATCTGTTCTATCTTTACAAAAGCTTTTATCTTTGTAACCTTGTCTTAAGATGCATATGGAAAGATTGAAGTTGCTGGTTTAGCCGCACAGCCGAACATTGCAACTATCTTCTCTGTGTGTGGGGAGATAATAGCAGTGAGGATAAAACCTATGATTAGTCTGGTTTATATAATTCCACAGGAATCAGATTATAGTGAAATTAAAGCGTTCTTCGTTTTGCATGTTGGAGTAATTGCTGCAAAGTTCACAGCAGCCTCACAGCTCTTCAGCCAATTACTGTTTTACATGAGTGAATCCTCTGAGCTGGAGCACAACGTAGCTTGTAGCTTTGCCACGAGGAAGAAAAATGTCACGGCAGACTTGTTCCTATGATAGAATTGACATTTCTTTCAGCGATGCTTGAGAGTATATTTGCGTAAGAGCTTGTTTGAATTCCTGTTCAGGTTATTCTGAGGTCATTGAAACTGATGTGTGTTTGCACAAAAAGTCAGGTGAATTTGGAAATGTTCCCTGTGCTACTTTTTTTGGAATGAAATTGAAGAATGCGAGTAATTCAGGCTTTATATCTTGTTCACATCATCATCCTCGCACCACTATTCAGTCTGCTCTCCACACAACATAAGACACAACTTTCACTTCCTATCTGCACGTCTTGCACGCTCACCCTCTTCCTTTCACCAACTCGGTTTCTCACTCTTTCATGCTTCCTTCCGGTTGCTTTAAATCAACTCATGTTCTGTTTCATCGTCATCCTGCTCCATTTCTTTCTCTCTATTGCTTTTTCATTTAAATCATTCTTGCTTAGTTTTCCTCTGTAAATACATGAATAAAGGAAATAGAAGAGCTGGTTTGAATCAAATCTGATCTGGATCTCTGCAAAGGTGAATTTGCAAGAGTGGAGCCTAATAATAGGATATGCATGCTGTAATTTGATGCTGCCGTTATAAAGCATTGAATGTTCTGGCTTAAACAATGCAGGCGCCTATGTTGGTGGGGCAAGTTAGTTCTAGTGCAAGTGAGACAATGAAATATGATCTGTGGCAGAGTCTGAAGGGTTCCCAGTTATTTTAGAGGAGGCAGATTAACCTCATCATTAATTTGTTTTTTTTTTTATAAATAATGACTTCCTTTGTGCTTTTTAGAAGTTTTTGGTTAGATTTTGCATAGTCTTGTTCAGAGTGTATGTGTGTATATATATATATATATATATATATAT